ATAGGCACAAGAAGCCCACAGGAAGCCCATTTACAAAAATGGCTAAAGTCATAGTGGCTTCCTTAAGAAAGTTGAAGGGTATTGTCCCTGCTGACCCTAAAGAACTGTATGAGCTTGATTTACAGGAGTACACTAAGAAAGGGAAATACCGGATCGATTCTACACCGAGCCTAAGGTTTGTTCATTACTCTTTTATCTTAAGTTCAGTTATTCAGTCTAAAATGCTAAACATGTCACACCATCCCCAAATTTAGTCCCGATTTGACTTTCATTTCTTAAAACTCATTTACAATCACATATTTTATGATATCTAAAATTTTTATCAACTTTTTAACCAAGTACTACATCAATATCCACACGTTGACATCTTCCTCCATACAACTCAAGACATTTGAAAATGACAGAAAGGGGACAGAAAAGTCATTGAGAAAGTAGAAAAGAAAATGTCTGCTATCTTTAAAGCTTTTTATTGTGATTACCACAAATTTGAGTCATTTGACTGCAACATTGTCAATCATTGTGCCAAGTCATTGAATAGTGACCAATTATTCGACTTTATGGCCTTCACTTCCTTTTTTAATTTTTTTATTTAAAATATTCAGTTACAAATCTTCTAAGAGCTACTATGGTCCAACTTTGTGTTTTATTTCATCCAGTCTAGACAAGCCGTATATCGAACAATATTTGACTATAAACCTAGTCTTCCGATTAACGTTGCCCGAGTTTTTAATCGATATAGCGATGAATCTAATGCTGTGATGAAAAACGATTTATTAGGTCAACCCTTGATTTATAGTGAGCTTTTAATTCATTTAATGATTTTACTTATGCAGGTTACTCAACAAAGCATGTGTAAAAACTGATTCTACTAGTCCTTGGATGCTATGTCCAGTGACTCAAGTTGAGGAAACAAAACAAATGCTGAGAATGATCCCAATTTTAATAGCCACCTTCATTCCAAGCACAATGATTGCACAAATAAATACCCTTTTTGTCAAACAAGGCACTACACTTAACAGACATGTAGTTGGTAAATTCAATATTCCCCCAGCAAGTTTAGCAGGATTTGTTACATTATCCATGCTGATATCGGTCGTGCTATATGACCAGTTCTTCGTAAAAATAATCCGAAAATGGACGAAAAACCCGAGGGGCATCACCCTTTTGCAAAGAATGGGAATTGGTATGATTTTCCATATTGTGATTATGGTGGTTGCTTCATTGACAGAAAGGTATAGACTTAGGGTTGCAAAGGATCATGGCCTAGTGGAAAATGGAGGACAAGTACCTCTATCAA